TTCTTGATTTCTCATCATTTCAGCCTGCCATGAAATATCATGATCTAGACCAGGGATTGGCAAACTTTGGGCCTATGGGTCCAATATGACCTGCATAAATAAATAAATCTTTTTTGTAAGTAAATACAAAATAAGTAATAAGTAAATACAACTTTATTGGATCACAGTCATATTCATTTACTATTGTCTGTGGTCTCTACTGGCTACAATGGCACAGTTGAGTAGTTGCAACAGAAACTGTGTGGTCCACAAAATCCATCTGGCTCTTTAGACTTTTTCCTGCATTCATTTAGCTTCCATTCTCACTGACTTATTCTTGAAATATTTCCCAATTCAAGTTCCTAGAAGAGAGAAAACCAAAATCCTCTGAAATGCTTATTCCTCAATCTGGAATGAAATGAAAGAGGACATTCTCATTTCATGCCAGGCCACTCCATAGTGTGTTGGCCAGCTACGGAGAGGCTGCATGTGGGCAACGTGTTCTGTCCCCACCTCATCCAATTAGCTGTGACTGAGGAAATGCAGGTAATATGTAGTCAGTAAAATGGAGCTGCCTGGAGGGATCGGGGCATGGTGGGCACTATTACACTATTATTACAATGTGCTTGAGCCATACATTTAAAAAGTGTCAAAAGTACTTGCCAATTAAGATCAATCTGAAATGAAAGAGTACCCCTGAAATTAATAATATAAATCAGTGATAAAATATGATGTAACTTATACAAATTCAATTCACACAATATCATGGCTCTATTGCATAACAGGACATATACTATTATGGTGTGATTATACCTACACATCATAAAATACCATTAACATTTCCCAGGTGGCAAAAAATAGGTGAAAAAAAGGCTAACTGAGGGACATCCCTGGTGGTCCAGTGGTTAAGAATCCGCCTTCTAATGCAGGGGATGCAGGTTCCATCCCTGGTCTGGGAACTAAGATCTCACTTGCAACGGGGCAACTAAGCCCACGTGCTGCAACTTCTGAGCTTGCACACTCTAAGGCCTGCAAGCCACAACTAGAGAGACGCCCGTACCACAATGAAAGATCCCACATGCCACAACTAAGACCCGATGCAGCCAAATAAATAAATAAATTAATTAATTATTTTAAAAAGACTAAATGAACAGTTAAATTAAGATTTGATGAGTATTGGCACTACTTAGATGCTAATTATCCTTTTTTATTTGGAAAAAAAATCCAACAATTCATCCATTATGAATTATGTATTTTCTCAAGGATACGTTACTATGAACACAGAATTCTGTAATAACCGGCACTTTTAATAGGTTTTTTCCCAACTTAAACTGCGTCTGCTTTGATTGCTTGCTTACATCTTGGCTCCCTTCCACACTACAGAGTATAGTTCCAGCTCAGATCCTATATGGAGGACACCATGACAGTTTTGAAACAGTCCTCTGATCCTTCTAGCAATGTAAAAGGTATGGTACTCAGAGTACAATTTATAGAGAAATCTGACAGCATTTTCAATAAGCAAACTTTAAAAAAAAAATTTTCCCCATTGAAAAACAAACAAAAAAACCCGGGAAAGAGACTTTCAGAGCAACGCCTACAGGGACTTTCCTGGCAGTCCAGTGGTTAAGACTCCGTGCTTCCAATGCAGGGGGCATGGGTTCAATCCCTGGTCAGGGAACTAAGATCCCACATGCCATGTGGTGTGGACAAAAAAAAAAAAAAGAACAATGACTACAACTTCTTTAACTTCTTGTCTGGACAAATTGTAACATACACAAATAGCTTCCAAAATAACTTTTTATTACTATATAAAAACAAGTCAAGAAAAAATAGATGCATTTTTTTCTACAAAATTATAAAATATTCAGGCTATTTAATATTTTTCCATAAATGTGTTGAGATAAAAAGGCAAATTTAAACATAGAAATCTTTTCCACATAAAGTTTTCAGGTACCTTGTAGGGGATAAAGAATAGTTTTTCTTCTACTTTCCTATGTGTAGCTCTAAGACATAGCAGTTACAGCTTTCTGTCAGAGTTACCTAAAAAAGGACATACAAAGATAAAAATTCCATCATGTTGCAATAAAATTAGCAAAAAACTTTACTTTGGGCTTTCAGATTTGGCAGTTGTAGTCAACCGGTATTGCACTGGAATTTCCAACTCAGCAGGGAAAAGAGCCTAATTAAAAACAAGGCATCCTCTTAATTTTTGTCCTTTAGAAAAGCAGTCCCCAACCTTTTTGGCACCAGGGACCGATTTTGTGGAAGACAATTTTTACATGGAAGTGGGGGGGGTGGTGATTCAGGCGGTAATGCGAGCGATGGGGAGCGGCAGATTACGCTTCGCTCGCTCACTCGCCTGCCGCTCACCTCCTGCTGTGCAGCCTGGTTCCTAACAGGCTGTGGACTGGTACTGGTACTCGGCCCAGGGGTTGGGGACCCCTGCTTTAGAAAACAGAAACCACTTGTCAGTATTCCTTAAAAAGTACGATTACCTTTTTTGTCATTTGATCGTAAGCTCTGAGATGCTGTTTCCAACCCACACAGCTTAAATGAAACCACGAGAGGAAAGGGAAGAAGGGGATTTGGAGGGTGGATTCAGTTTGACACAAGGCGCACAGGAAGCTGTACACTTTTGATAACATTAATTCAAAAAGTATATTCATCTGAGTTTCTCAATAAACCCTTTGAGACAAAAGGCTTTAGTGTTGATTTAGATGAATGTTCAAGCGTTTTTTTTTTCTGCAATTAGATTATGGGGTAAGCCAAGCCAGACTATCTCTGCAGGTGATATAAGCTATAATTATTTGGGAAGATTTCAATCACTGTTTTAGAACTGATACCTAAGGCTTTCTCCCCTGTTCTTTTTGTGGGCTTTTTAAAGAGAAATTTTGGGGGGAGATGCTTTAGGCGGGACAAACCAGCTTTTGAAAGATAAAGGTACAATTATCATTAGAATAAAAAGCCCATTAAAAGAAGAGTCTCATACAGAAAGGTTTTCTAGATATATTTGACTATGCATTGTTTTCATAAAGGTTGAGAAAGAAAGAAAAGAAGTTCCTATAATATCTGTAAGATTACCCTCACATTAGCCCACAAGAGGGATAAAATAAAGGGCTGAGATGAGGGGTGTTCAGATACTTCTCAATGGAGCAGAATAGTCTAGTGCCAAATCCATAATTAACTTTTAACTAATAACCTCTTTCTTGGCCTATATGAAATGGAATGGCAGCTTCAATCCTTGGGGATGTCACTATTCCCTTCCCCCTAAAAAGCCCTGGAATTTTGTGCACCTCTATGTAATGAAATATCCATTCACTAAAATATGTTTGTGTGAGACAATGCAATTATTCCTTCCACTTAGCACCCTAATTGTAGCATGCTCTACTTATACTGAATTTATGTGTCTACTACGTGCCAGGCATTGGGCTGGGCACTAGGGATTCTTATGACACTATTGCCAATTTTGGAAATAGAATTAAGAAAACAGTGTTTTGGTGAGGGACTCTTGAATGGATATTGTGAAGCTTCATGGATGTGACGGAGTATAGCTTGTGCTCAGTCTATGGAAGTAATTACCAGTTACCCTAAAAGGAAATTCACTAAGCACCAAAAATGTTAAGTTTATTTGGTGTAAACTGTATGGTTTAAAACTGCAGGGAAACCAAAAATCAATCCCAAATGAAAAGCAACATTTCAGCATAGGCGCCACTCTAGGTTTTAATTTAAGTCAGCCCAGAGCCTAGACAGAGGTCTCATGCATGAAAACTGTCATCTCTGAGTCTTAATTCGCTACTGAGAACCAAAGCACAAGATGTCCCCTAAAATTCCACCCAAATCAGGAGGGACCCTAGCTTTTGCTCCTGGGGAAGGGCAAACCATGAAGTCCATCTCTCCTATCTCCAAACCCAAAGCTGTTCAGCAGCGATATTCTTGCCTAAACCTTTCTTTGTTACCAAGACAGTTTTAAGATCAAAGGGGCATCAAGGTAAGCCATGGCTTTTTGGCCGTGGCAGGGTGCCCATGATGAATTTCCAGGTAAGGGTAGGCCTTTCTCCTTGGTTATTTGGGAAATCTGCCTTGGAAACAGAGCCAGAAGGTAAATTTTAACAACTCTACTGCATTCCACCAAATGAGGTTTATCCACGGGTGGGTCAAAACAGGTATAAATTAGCATATAACAGAAAAAACAGCATAGTGAGGTGGTTAGGATCATGGACTGACCTGAGGTGCCAAACTGCCAGGTTTTGAATCTCAGTTTCACCACTTATGAGATGTGTGACCTTGGGCAAGTTACTAACCTCTCCAAGCCTCAGATCTCTCATCTGTAAAATGCAGCTTTTAATGGTGCCTACCGCAAAAGTTTTGTCTGGGGATTGAATTAGCTAAGATTTATAAAGTGCTTAGAATAGTGTCTGACACTTACTAAGTCCCATGTTTTAAAAAAACAGAAACTTGGGGAAAAGTGCTCTTTAAGGTTTATGGAGTAGTTTATACTGCTTAAGCATTCAGGCATATTCTCATCCTAATTAAGTTTAGAATCTGGATCATAAAGTATACCAAACCCAAGGAAGCCTTGGGATTAAGTCAGTTTTGGAAAAGCTTCCAGGTCCAACCAGGCAAGATCTTCAGCTACCTACAGCCCTATCACTGCTCCAAAATGCCCTAATACAAACCCTGGTTTCCAGGGCCAATCTAAGGATAAACCAGCTGGGGAGGGAGCAAAGGGTAGGCACAGGGAAAAGGGAAGCAGTTACTTTCCTAAATTTTTTTCCGTGCTCTAGTCATGACATCTGTGTAGCATTAACCCTGTCCCACGTATTCATGATCTGATTCCAAAACTTTACAACTGGACTCCCAGAATTAACAGAAAATGACTGCATGACAAGAGGCCAGGGAAGCTGCCAGTTTATCAAATTTACCGACCGATAGATACATCTTGATCATTTGTTCTATGCAAGGCACTGTGCTAAATGCTTTGGTCCTCAACGAGAACAAGGTAATATAACCACAATTTACACCTGCTGTTATTTACATTGATCATCTCCCTTCCAATTCAGGTAAGTTCACAGGCCTCAATCAATACAAATGCTCTCAAGAAATCCTACTTTATGATTAGAATAAATATTGAGTCTGTGGAGCTCAATCATCTTACGGCTAAATAAGAGAAGCTAAACTGTAGAACTAATGGAAGTTATATGGCTACATCTCTAGCCCATTTTACATGGTGGATCTCTGTCCAGCCTCATCAAGGGTGATGTTTCTTTTCCTTGCTGCTGCTTCACTGTTTAACTCTGAATCTGATTTGTCCATATTGCCAAAGTTCATTGCCATGGAACCTTCCATTCCCTCTGGAGCGCCTCCGTTTGGCTGAAGAAGGACAGAACTTGGCTCTTTAGGACGCTTCCACTGTGGTCTGGTGACTATCCAAAAAATGAGAGCCCCAAACACCAGAATCAGAAGGCCGAGGGTATTTGTGAAAACACCTTCTGGTGGGAATGTACTGTATGCAGGATTTTTCCTACAAAAAAAGGAGAGAGTGTGTCCAATTACAAATAGGATGATACACCAAGGGGGGAAAGCTGGGGGCGGGGGAGGGGGAGGATGAATTGGGAGATTGGGATTGACATATATACACTAATATGTATAAAATAGGTAACTAATAAGAAACTGCTGTATAAAAAAAATTAAATTAAAAAAAATTAGGGTGATACAGCAACATGCCAAACAGTCTTGAATTTATCTGCTCAAAATGCACACTGGTACAGCTTCAATGTAAATTCCCTTAAAGCTTGACATTAAGAAGGAATTTAAGATATGCTATAATTCACTCAATGGATTAGTATGAAATTGTTAAAAATCATAAGTATGAAAATAATATAGCATCTAAAACACCTGTATCACTTAAAATTTAAAAAATGATACAAAAATGTAGGTATATCATGATTACAGTTAATATAAAAACATACACATCAAAACGATTGAAAGGGCATGCATAACTTCAATAGTTGTTTTGTAAGGGTAGTACAATTTGTTGGACTGTTTGGTTTTTCTTCCAAGCATTATTAATGTTATATCACATGTATAATATAATACATTTTAAAAAATATTTAAATTTTTTATTTTCAACATTTAAAATTTTTTGTTAACATTTATATTTGTCCAGTGAACAAGTATTTAACATTTTGTTGCTTAAGAATTGCAATTAGGAAAACTATGCAACTTACAGGGCAAAAATCAGTTTCTCCGTCACTCCCATAAGTACTGTTGCAATCACTGTTCCAAAGACGAGAAGTCCAGAATAAACATGTATGGGCATGAGAAGTGCTCGGAGAGAAAGTGGAGCCCAAGGAAGCAGAAAGACAAAAAAACCTAGGAGAAGCTAAACATCAAAAAGTACAAAAGTTATCAATTAATTGTAACTTTTAACTAATTTTAAAATTATCATAGAAGCAATATGTACAAAATGAGAAAACATTTCATATAGAACCAAGGGCATAAAATGAAGTTTCCCCATGCCAGTTCCACTCACTCTCTCGAGTATCCTTCCAGAAAATTTCTGCGACTAAACAAGCGTGTGTGTTTATGCACATGTGTGTTTAAAGAGAGAGTAAGTCAGACATAGAAAACAAACTTATGGTTACCAAAGGGATGAAATAGGAGGTTGGGATTAAAATATACACACTACTATATAAACAGCACAGATAAACAACAAGGACCTACTGTATAGCACAGGGAACTATACTCAATACCTTGTAATAACCTATAATGGAAAAGAATCTAAAAAGAATATATATATGTGTGTGTATGTGTATATATATATATAGTGTGTGTGTATATATACATACATATATATATATATAAAACTGAATCACCTTGCTGTACACCTGAAATTAACACATTGTAAATCAACTATATTTCAATAAAATTTTTTTAAAAAGAGAGAGAGAGGGACAGATTTTTAAGGTACAAGTGGGATTTTACTATACATATTTGTTCTGCATATTGCTTTTTTCCCTGAATAGTGTATCTTGGAGATCTTTTCATATCGATGCATGTATCTAGTTTATTCTTTTTAATGGCTGACATTCTAAGACTGTAACAAATTATTCAGTTCCCTATTAATAGACATTTCTGTTTCTAGTTTTTTGCTATCATTAACAAGGCTACAGTGAACATTCTGATACTTACTTATTTGCTTTTTATCAATTTCCTTAAGGTTGCCAAGTAGGAAGGGAAGTAAAAGATTTTTAAGTCACTAAATCCAAATACAATAGAACACATTTATTCAGTTCAACCTAAAAAACTGTGGAAAAAACCTGGCAATTTTGTTTTATGAGGAAGAAATGAGTTCTGCAGAAAATTCTCTCCATCTCCTTGATAATTAAATCCCTAGTGGGATACTTCTCTGCAGAGAAGACAACAAGATTATTACATAAACTACAAGTCTGTTAATGCTTTCACAGTTTTGTTTTGTTGCCCCAGACCCCTGCCGATTAAGTAATCTCTTCTCCAGAAAATAAAGATGACTCAGTGACCATTGAGTTACTGAGTTTAAAGGGACTTCTTTTTCAGGTATCTCTTTGGTATCTACCACTCTAACAAAACAACTATGAGAATGAGGAGAAACACTAGCGTCACTGTTCATTTTTCCTGATTGATATCAAAGGACTAACGGGGGACAGAGAGGAATGAAGGCAGAAGGGGTGTGATGCCCTAAAACACATTTAGAATCAGATTAAAGGCAACAGTAATGAATGGAAAGTAACTGAAAATGCATGCAATAGGCTGGTTTGCATATTTTATTGTCCATTAATACCACAAATGCCTGAGTATATTAGAAATGGTTCAGAGAGTCCCCCTTGGTGGTTCAGTGTTCCTAATTCTCCTTCAGTGATCTTGAGTGATTTTTTTTTTTTTTTTTTTGGGGACCGGGGCCCCTCCTCCCGGACTGGGGCACGAACCCGCGTCCCCTGCATCGGCAGGTGGACACTCAACCACTGCGCCACCAGGGAAGCCCTTGAGTGATTCTTTTAGTATCAAAGGGTAAGCATCCTGATGTACAGGTTGTGCTTTCTATACAAAAATGGGGCTCAGGTGAGTGGGGCTCAAGTGTCCAGGATTTAGCACAAATACATTTCTACGAGTAAGTCACCATATCTTTTCTGTGACTTACCCATGTAAATATATACTTTTTTCCATATTCCTGTTATCCTGCCTTTCTATTCCTAAGTTTCTTATTGTTTTGAATGATTCTTACTGTTTTCTCTTATTTCTTTCAGGATTTATCACGTGTGTCTCTTGTAATCCCATAAAGCTTAATGATCTAAGTAGATGGGACACCAGAAATTTGCGTACAGGACCCCAGGACTATTTAACTCTCCTAAATCTTACTTTCCCCATGAAAACATTTTTTTTCAACAGAAAATTACTTTTAAAAGGAAAGGAAAAAATTACAGAACACTTAACTTTGATTAAAAGTGTTCCAAATTATGCAAATGTATAATAACTTATAAAAAGTTAAAATTTATATTAATCATTATTTCCTTTTAACCATCTTAGCCTTACTATCTTACAAGTAATAGGGCAACTTAAATCCTAGTGGACTGAATATTACAAAATCCTTAAGTCCCTTTAAGTCAGTGTTTCTTGAAATGTTCATAGAAGACCTGTATCAGAAACTCTTAAGGTGTTTATTTAAAGAGATCCCTGTGCCACATCCAAATTTGCTAAAACAGAACTTCTGGAAGTAGGGTTTAGGAATCTGCCTTTTGATGGAATGCCAGGGTGATTCTTGCTACATGTTGCAGTCTGAAGACCACCGCTTTTGATTCGCTCAAATTATTTCAGAGATATGGGTTAAGTGCATTCTGGAAAATCCCTAAAAGTGAAGGCAGTAGACTGTTACCTTCAGTCTACAAACACTTATTAAGTGCAAACAAAGTGCTCCAGAGTTTAGGAACCACCACCTACAGAAAACTGTTCTTCACCACTATGGGGTTCTTAGGAGAGCTAAAGAAAAGTAAAATCTCATTTAAAAAGTTATTATTTAGATATGAAAGTGAAGATGTAGTATGATTCTAATTATGCTTAAAATTTTTTCTTAACTATATATTCATGGGCATAATAAGAGCCTAAAGGAAATAAACCAAAATATAATGATATCTCTAGATTATGGCATTATCAGTGATTTGAGGAATTTTCTTTCCATTTTTCTGATTTTATAAAATTTTAAATAAATGTATATTACTTTTATAATTAGAAATAGACAATGAAAGTTTACTTTTAAAGTTCCTGTGTTAGATATCTGGGCTTTTCTCAGTTAATTATTATTGTCCTTTAAAGATACAAATGTATTTTACTATGCCAGTTTTATCTCACTTTATGAAATAGATGAGTTTTTTAAAAAAAGATATGTGTAAACTTTTAGACATAATAAAAGCTTTTATTTGCAAAAGTCATTAATGAGACCAGGAAACATCTGCTTAGCTAGCTTTTGTATTAGGTATGATTTGCTTTTTTTTAAGGGTAGAGGTGGATTTAATGAGAATCAAGTGAGTTACAGATTATTATATGGAGGCTCCTCCCAGCTCCTCTTCATTTTTCTGCTATTGTATACACAGCCAGCAGAGACTCAACCAACTGCTGATGGAAAATATTTTTTTTCTTTTTTTTTCTTTTCTTTTTGGTACGCGGGCCTCTCACTGCCACGGCCTCCTCCCGTCGCGGAGCACAGGCTCCGGACGCGCAGGCCCAGCGGCCATGGCTCACAGGCCCAGCCGCTCCGCAGCACGAACCCGTGTGCCCTGCATCGGCAGGCAGACTCTCAACCACTGCGCCACCAGGGAAGCCCTGATGGAAAATATTTTTTTTAATTTCCAGAAAGTTCTAAAAAGCAAAATTTGAATTTTCCAGGCAATTTTTTACATAGCATTTACATTGTATTAGGTATTACAAGTAACCTAGAGATGATTTAAAGTACACAGGAGGATATGCATGGGTTATATGCAAATACTACACCATTTTTTTTTTTTTAATAAATTTATTTTTGGCTGCGTTGGGTCTTTGTTGCTGCGCACGGGCCTTCTCTAGTTGTGGTGAGCGGGGGCTACTCTTCGTTGAGGTATGCAGGCATCTCATTGTAGTGGCTTCTCTTGCTACAGAGCACAGGCTCTAGGTGTGCGGTCTTCAGTAGTTGTGGCACACGGTCTCTAGAGTGCAGGCTCAGCAGTTGTGGCGCATGGGCTTAGTTGCTCCACAGCATGTGGGATCTTCCTGGACCAGGGCTTGAACCCGTGTCCCCTGCACTGGCAGGCGGATTCTCAACCACTGTGCCACCAGGGAAGTCCCTACACCATTTTATATAAGGGACTTGAGCATCCACAGATTTTGTTATCCATGGGGGTCCTGGAACCAATCCCTCGCGGATACTGAAGTATAACTATATTCACTCATTCCTTCATTTAAAGTACATATTTCTGGGCCACATCCCTAGAGTTTCTGACTCAGTAGGTCTGGAGTGGAGCCTAAGAATCTATTTCTAACTCCCCTGATAATGCTAATGCTGCTGTCCTAGGGACCACTCTTTGAGAAGCTCTGTCTTAGGTTATTTGCAAGTTGTGTTTTTCAAACATAACGGCACGTTTTCTATGGGTAAAAACATTTAATCAGAACCAACTAGAATATGTCCATAGTTTTTTGTAAAAAGAAATGACAGACATTCAAATTGAAGTCTCCTGTCAATATCCTACATTTTCTTGCTGCACTGTCTTTCATCAAGTCCACCTGGCAATACCTCAACCTGGCTCAGACATCTTCAGGACTACCCCTGGTATGCTAGGTCCCACTGAAGTAAATCACGCAGTCAAGGGGACTAGCATCGCTATAAATTCATGGTTATGATGCTCGTGGCTATAAGCATTTCAGTGCTGCTCAACAATCCTTCTACTGTATGATTTATCAACTGGTCCTCCATGTTTCTCCCATGTGCAAACCTCTGGCTCTCTTGTGTGCCTCCCCACTACTGGCAGATGATCCTACTACCACCTCATGGGAAAACAGAGGCAACTTCAGAGAAGAGCCTCATTTTTCTGCCACCAAACGAAACAAACCAAAAAACCATCCCAAGCGAACAATTCCTTTCCTTCTTCCCTTGCAATGGAGTTGGTGTCCTCCAATTTTCCAGCAGGCTCCACAACCTACTTCTTGAAGACATAGCTATAAATTATTGCATCTCTCCAATATTCACTACCTTTCCTTCTCTATGGTGCTATCCAGTGAGCATTTTAACATGCCCAAGCTTCTCACAACAAAATGAAGTAAAAAAGAAAGCACCCAAGCACATGACTTGACTCTTGTCTCTGACCAGTTACCAACCTCTCT